TTTCCCCATTTTTGTTCACTTTCGTCACGGACTGCATCACAGATTGTCCCCTTATGGGTTCTCGCGATGTAGGCGTGAAAGGATAATTGATCTTGATTATGCGGACGATATCGTCTTGCGGTTTAACAATGTTGGGGCGGCGCCATCAACCCTGAATAACCCATGTAAAGTGATTCCATTATTTGGTTTGCGCCTCGCACCTTCAACTTGCGAACTATTGCTGCAGGACTACCAACCACTTGATGATCCATTGACTAGATAGCGAGGAACTCGAGGTAGTTGATTGATTCACTTATCTTGGCAGCTGTATCAGCGACCATGGGTGTATAGCTACTGAAGTCAGTACACGTGGTGCAAAAGCCAGAACTGCCTTTGCGACATCTTTAGCGACAGAATGAGGTTTCCCTCCGTTTTAAAGGTCGTGTCTATATGGTCACAGTGAGAGCCATCCTACTGTGTGGGAGTGAGACTTATATGTACTATATATTATACACAATCTGTCTTACAGATATTATGCCATCGGAATCATGGTTGCATAGGAACAGTACGAACGATAAGAAAATAACAACAAAAGCTTTTTTGTCCAGTTTGCCACACAGTTTATGAATTTTTTTCACTTTGTTTTTTAGGGAGAGAAAGGAGGGATACCGCAACACACCGATGCACACGTCCACCACTGACATCGAGCTTGAGCCATAGCTTCCAAGGTTTTCAATCAACAGTTAACCGCATATTTCGAATCCCGACCAGGTAGCCGACAACAACCGGCCGTGGCCAACTGTTTCATCAGCGGACCAACTTTTTTGGTCAGCTGATTGGGATTTGACCCCTTCGGTCTGAACATCTGAGACATCTTCAAGTTTTTGATCATCGTTACCTGCGGAACATTGCTGGTGTCTGGTGGCACCAGCGTGTTCGCGACGATAATGTGTGAAGTCGAGTGCTAGGCAGGGATACTCAAGCTAGTTCATTAGAACAACAGGTAGCACTGAGTAAGTTGCGTTGGGTTGGGTACGTACTACGTATGCTACGTATGCTTACCATGAAGGGCCTTGTTTTGTCTGCCAGATGTAAGGTGGCGCAAGGCTCGAGGTGGACAAACGTTAACTTGACAGCGGGAAATGTAGTCACTTACGACCAAACTGGGTGCCGTCGATCCGTCTTGCTTTCCTGGCTGGAGTCTATAGGACTCCCATTATATTTGACTCGAGACTACATGATGTGGCTCGCAGTCGGCACCATTGGCGCGTCTGCTGATGTCTCTTAGTGGGACTGCTTGTTTAAAGTGTGTTTGGTGCAGAGTTGTCTGCGGGGTAATGGCTGATTATGACGCGTGGCAGTGAAAGCCGCTAGGAAGCTGTCTTGCCAATGCCGCCTTATCTTTTCACGATAGCCAGTTGTTTGTGATGACATGTTGTTGCCAAGCTGTAGGTGCCTTGACCCTGAATGTTTGCTTAGGGCATTAAGGTTTTCAGGTAAGTCCCCCTTCTCTCCCTCTTATTATTCTTCGTTTCCGTAGGTGGTTATGGTTGTATGGCAGCGAAGCATCAGTTGAAATGGTTGGTGTACTGTTGATGGTGATGATGAGTGCGCGCACGCTTGGCGCTCGCACTTCCCGCTTCAAAGAAGCTTCTGTCTTCTAACCTTACCTGTACATCAAACCTACAGTCTGCATTTCAACGTTATCCTGACCAACTGAACCACCAAATGTCTGATGTATAAGGTTGGTAGACAAAACGCTGACTGTAATCGTCTCAAACATTCCATGAAGAATGCCTTTGACGCCTGCTGTGCTCCACACTTTAGAAGTCCTTACTGTGAAAATGGATCTTCAAGGCATGGATCAACGTAATTGAAACACGGCACCGATTTCCGATGGGCACTGAGTTTCGGTGTGTCCGTAACACCCTGGATGAGCTTGTACGGGCACTTTGGCTATCCATTGACGAACAATTCAACTCACATTTTTGCACGATTACACCACTTTATGAATCAGTAGATGTTGCACTATGGACAAGTAACATTGATACGCTGATGCTACCCTAGTAATAGGTCCTCATTGACAGAGGAGAGTAAGATAAGTGATTGACGATTCTCTCAGGGAAGCGCATCACTCAGTCTTTCAGTCCCCACCCTTTTTTGATGATCATTCATTCAATATACGCACTAGCTTCCGGTGGAAACCACCTCAGTCATGGTACCGCAATACAAATGCAAAGAAAAATGTGAAACAGAGGCACGCCGGCTGAGTCACCAGTAACGGATGGACATCGTTTCGGAGAGCTAACAGCCAGCTACTGTGCCGCAACAGCTCATATAATGCCTATTGATTGAGATCGTGGTTGGAGGGGGAGGCTAAGCGGAAGGGGATGGACAAAGGAACTCACAACACAAACGCCATTGTGGTGTGCTCCTAGCCATGTCCATAAGTGTATCCAACCAAACACGTTCATCGTCCGGTCCCCTACCAAGGAGCCTAGAGGCACCGACCGAGGCCAGCTTCGAAGTAAGGGCGTTCATTCCTCTTGACCAAGTCATCGCTAGGCCACTTCTCCTCTTCTATCCGCACTCCCGGTCCTCTAACAACACACGTGTTGCATCACGTGCCCCAACCATCGGAGTCTGGTGCGAGAAATAACGATGCTGAGCGGTTCGCTTCTTCTTCCTGCGCCATAAACAAGGCGTCGAGCATGCTCATTGTATACCCGGTGTTCCCACCAGATATGGGCCAAATTGCGAAGGCACCGGTGGTCGAACTTAACTACCTTCTTTATGTTCGCGGATCTCAGGGCCACGTTTCGAAACCGTACAGTTATGTCGAACCTACGGCCGCATTGTATACTCTAACCTTCAGGGAGTGAGTGATGTCGCGCCGGCGCCGTAGGTGGCGAATGTTAGCAAAAGCGCTTCGAGCTTTTGCTATACGGTTTTTGACCTCGTCTTCAATTCCAACTGCGCTGATACAACTACCTAGGTAGTAGAATTTTTGAGCTGATCCCTGACAAGGGTCAGCGCAGGAGGCGGTCCCTGCCAATTTTGCGGGAAAGCTTTGCACTTGGCGGGTGCAAAGCATAGCGCGAAACGGGTGACAGCCAGTGCTAATCTGTCCAGTGCCGCTTGGCACGTTTGGGTGCTGTCACAGATTTGGGCAATATTGTCAGCCTGCTCCAAGTCAAGAACTCGTTCACCTGGGAGCAGCTCCACACCTTCTAAGTCGTATCCTATGAACGTGATTTCCAATAGCAGTAGCGAAGTTGAAGAGGAAAGGTGACAGTGGGCATCCTTGTCTTACACCGCTGGGCATATTGAAGGGCGGCGACAGCTCGCCGTAAACCCTCACTCTGCCTGAGCTACGTGCGTATAATGCTCGGATAATATTTACATATTTCTCAGGCACCCCTTTCCTTAGTAGACAGTCCCAAGGAACACGTCTATTCACCGAATCGAATGCACCTTTGATATCGAGGAACAAGACAACGGGGGATCGCCAGTATGTGTGACGGTGCTCCAACAACTGACATACTGTGAAGATGTGGTCGATGCATTCCTGACTTCGACGAAACCTCACTTGCTTTTCATGAATCTGGCTTTCACGGTCGCCAGTCAGTCTGAAGAATTACAGAGGCAAACAATTTGGAAGCAATGGGGATCAAACTGATTCCTCTATGGTTACCGCATTCCGAACGCGAGTCCCCTTTGAAGATCGGGACAATAACCGAGCAGCTAAAGTCGGTTAGAATAGTGTCCTACTCCCACAGTTTTATTGTAATACGTGTAAATCATCAACAACAGCAGGGCCCGAATTTGAAGTGGGCTCGATGAAGTTCATCTGGTCCCACGGCTTTATTCAACTTCAACAGTTCGTGTGAGCGGATTCAAAGGGACAACCCAGGGGGTACGGCGGTGAATAATAGTTTCTTTTTGTCTGTGGACTATAGGCACTTGAATTCAAGTACTTAGTGAAATGTTTTTCCCTTCCCAATAAAGTGGTACAGTTGGTATTGTTTCTGGTTGCAGGAGTGTGTAGATTTCTTGGAGCCATCCGGTTTTTATGACTTACAGACCATAACTTGAGTTGTTGTGCGGACTCACCGGGTCTCGATGCCTTACTCAAGAAGTATGGCACAAATGCCTCATGTTCTCGCCGATATCCTTTCACATGAGATGTCAAAGGACGAGCACTTGAATAATCTAGCGGCACTCTTTCAGCATCTACTTGGAGTTGGATTCAACATTCCTACGTCGAAATGCAACCTATTGCGGGAGACAGTTACCTTTCTGGGGCACATTTCGCGGTCGGGCATTCAGAATGACAGGTAAGACGGGGCAGTTGCGATTATGAACGAGTCCTACGAACATCAAATAGTTACGTAGTTAACTTGGTTTTGTACTACCGGTGGTTTGTCAAAGGCCTGTGCTATGGCTGCGCTATTTGGAGCATTACTATAATAGTTGGAGGAATGCAAAAGAAGCGGCCCTGGTCAAGATTGCACGTCGCAGTCTGGACACAGGGCAGGTACTCCGGAACTTAACAACATTTTTTTACCAGTCTCTAGGTTTGCTTGCAATGCCTAGTGAGCAAGGAGTCCGTCGTCAACCGCTACTTGTTGGGTCCCACTCCAAGCTCTAACTGTATTTGTTTCATAGGTCCTAAAAGGATAAGATTCGTCTGGAAATGCATTGTTGGAAGAGAGTAACACCGAGACTCTCCACTTCAGGTGCGGTTCTGAGGATCGGAGGGATAGGGCTCCAATTAAACCATCGCCCCAATTGAAATCGAATATTGCAATCCAGAAAGGGTGAATACTCAAAAATCCAACAGTGAATTTTTGTTCCACATTACATTTTTACATTGTTTAAGCGCTCTGAAGAATGGTTCTTCGACAAAATAAATCTACCATTCTACAATGGTAGGTTTATTTTCGCATAAACTCTCGTTTCTCTCATTATTTTCTCCCACTCCTTATTTAATTTTGTTCCGTCCTGTCTGTCTGTTTCAGGTTTTGCTGTGAACACTGCTCTTCCTTATTCTTGCTTCATCGGTCTCGTACAATGCCTGTACATGGATGACGATGACTTGACCCAGGATATTATTGATCAATTCGACCTCATTTGCACACAACATCAGCTGGACAACAGTATATTTTGTTTCCATATCATCTGAATTTTAGGTCGCACAGCATCGCGCGTACCAAATGGGACCTTTTCGGGTATCTTCCCCATCTCTTAATCTCATTTCTCTTCTAGATAACTTCAAAGTCCAGCCAGGGACTGGTCTCGAAAGGACTAAGTCTTTGGACACACATATTACGAATCCTATTGCTATCCCTCGATCCTTACATGGGGTCACCAAAGATGATGCGGCTTGCCCTGAATTTGTGGAACGGAGAGAGTATGATAATGTTCAAAAGGAGGTATGTTTCTTGGCAAATCTTTTCAGTGACCATACTTCCGATCCATGTTGTAATACTAGTCGCATTGCACACTCGTAACTTTACAATGCAGCCATACGACTCATAACGGGACAGGGGCCACGTTGATTTTTATCGAGGGTCACTGGATTTCCCGAGCGTGGTGTGTGCTCTTTTTGGAGGTGATAGCGGTGAACTTTAAACCGTTAGTGTATCCAGAAGACGTCTTATATGAAGAAAAATAACAATTAGCTGCTTCTTATACATAGAACATCTTTTCTTTGCGTCGGTTGTTGTCAAACGGAATGGCTGTATCAGTCACCAATGGTTTACCACCCTCCATCGTTAGCGACAATGAGAGGTCGTAGGACCCACCTACCTTGTCTCGCTTCGGTTATGTTAGTCCATGGGACATTAGAACCTCAATGTCCCAGATGGGTTCAGTAAATCCGAGTGGCAATTCTGGCTCACCAGTTTGTGTGAGTCGACTATATCTAGACTGCGCACGACCGATAGTTATCGTGCGGCAGCGAAACTTCAGTGTGACCACCGACGTATACGTCGGCAGTATACTACCGATGCCTATGTTCTTCGTGACACGCTTTTCTTCTGCATCGTCTGCTGTATCTGTGACTTTTGTATCAATAGTTTCCTACTATTCTTCGTGCGCCTGCTATCTGGCCGTACTTTTTGTCGAGCTTGTGTACATGCTCATAGCAGCCAATTGGTCACAGTAATCTTGAATCAAGCGACTACTAGCCTGGTTATCACTTGCCCTTGGCTTCCTGCTGATCGGTGATTGGGAGCCATATAACGCCCTAGGTAGTCGAGAAGTCATTGGCAGTTTTGACCGCACTTTCGTTCTCAGCTACTGGTCTTTTGCTTTGGATTTTCATCCGTCATCGAGTCGTTTTCTTATCATCTTTCTTGTTAACATGACAGCACGGGATTTCCTAAAACGTTCAGGGGCACCTTGGTGCTCTGATTGCCGTGGCATTTTTAGCTGTCGCCATATCTTCATGGAGCGTCGATTGTTAACCTTTGATTTAGTTGCCTATTAGCTGTTCATCCGATTTTAATGCGAGTGATCGAATGGTGTAACATTCTTCTCTTGAAATGTCCACATCTAACTGACATGTCTCTTTACAGGTGGTCCGGTTAAGGGAGGAGCTTTACATGAAGCTTGGAGAGCTTGCGACTATCAAAGAGTCGGCAAATCGCGTAAACGCCACCAAATCAGATGCTATAGTGCGATTGGAACACAGTCTAAACACCGAGCGGGAAGAGTTTCAGCGTAGGCTGAACGAACTGAATACGCAAATTGCTTTCAGAGAAGCTGATTATCGTCTGGTGACCACAGAGTTAGTTCGTTTAAAAGAAAAGCTTTCAGCCACCAAGGTCACCCAAGGTATGTGGTCGTTTATCTAAAAACCGTGTTTATCATTCTTCGTTTTGGAACCAGTCTTTCATATTTTTTTCATTTCGCTGATAATTTTCTGTATCCAGTGATATCTGTTGTGTCGACCTCGTTTTTGTCACCACTCACCCCAGTAATGTGAACATGACGTGCGCATTCTACACCTAAGTGACTTCCTTATGCTGAGGCCACTGCTCCACTTTCGGGCACCCTGCAACACACGCGGACACCAGCAGAAGCGTGTGGCTCCAGATCTGAAATGAGTTCCTCATCCTTTGTGCTTTGAACGGCGAGTAGTAAATGTCTGGAACAGTTTACCGGAGCATATAGTGGAAGCATACTCAGTGCAGCAGCTCAAGCGATCGTTAGATGTGCATTTCTCAAGTTTTCGACTCCGAGAACGATTACCCACTTACATCTCACATTTCTGTGTTCTAATTCACTGAATTACAGTTATTTTACGACATCACGTGTGAACGTAAAAAACATAAAGTAAGTTACAGATAGTTTGCTCTTTAACCTTTTTGATCTTATTTCAATGAAGTTGTACAGATTCAAACTTTTACCTGCTCCCACAATACAGTATTCAGAGCAGGATCATGATTCTTCGAGTAGGAAAACTGCGCTACTTGTCTATCAAAAATGTTAGGGACGCTCAGCTTTCCAAACATCCAACACTGTGCAAGGTCGATGAAAGGTGAGCTAGTTAATCGCTAATCATGTGCAGCCAACGGAAGGTAAAGAGTGGCGGTAATGCCGGAAGCGACTCTTGACAACCAGTGGGACTACCCATACGATGCGTTAAAACAATGATTAAGGACTAAACTCAGCGATATGATAGCCTGTATCTACTATTCTTGACATAAGCATACCTGAATTCATTTTTCATAGCGTCTTGTCCTTGGAAATAAGCTGCGTAGGACTCACCTGGGTTTTCCGATGGGGGTCTGCTTGAAATTACTGTGCAACTTTTGTTTTAGCCCTGACCGCGCTTCATTTCTTGGACGTACCGAAGATTTGATGAACTACCTAGCAGAGGCGTTCGACCCACAACTGTCCAGCAGTTCGCTTGATTCAAATTTGTTGGCATTGGTAGTTACGGTGTTCTTGATATAGTCAGCTTCGATTGACTAGCTTAGAGGATCCACAGTTACGTACCGTTGCGGATATCGTACAGGATGATATACGGTACTGCACAACCTGGGCATTCCGTTTTTCCTCTACCCCTGAGGCAACCAACCAACGCAGTTGTTATACTAAGAATTTCTTGGCCATACCGCCTGTCGGTGTTGGTTCTTCATGGTAGAAACAGTAAGGCTTATGGTCGATGTTTAGAGGTTCGTAGATCTAAATGGGTTCTCAGTTTTCAACTCATATGGACTTCTTCGGGTAATTTTCCGTCTCGTACGTTAGGACTCAAGGTACATCGACAATTCATTAGAAATTCTTCTAGCTTCTATTCCAGCTACCTGTCTTCGTTCGAATTCAGCAAGGCTTGCTTCGTGCTATTGATAGAACGCTCCTGTTCTCCATCACCTTGTTTGTGATGCGGTGCAATTCATATGTTTGCACAGAACTCGACTTATCGATAGGATGTGCACTACGCTCCGTTATTTGTCGCACTTGCTCATCGCAAGCCATGCTGACCGAAAAAAAACGCATCAATGCATGTATTGTTCTGGCTCTCGACCTCCGGCAGTTTTCTGAAGTCACTTCTCATAGAACGCCCACGTTAGTTATGTAATTAATTGCTTTAGTTTTCTTCTATCAACTCCCTATTATTGCCCAATTTATCCGCAAAGTCCCTTGCTTCGTTAACGTAGTTTCATTGTTAGGCCTGTTTTAAGATTCTGAATGATACGTCTTCCGTACTGTGCCCCATTTGTCTATCAGGTTATCTTCTCTTCTGGTCGTTTTAGATCGAGCGGCGGATTTCTCACCATCATCGCAGCTACTCGTTTCCGCTGCCGCTTCTCCTTACTTAGACAAGGCAGCACAACTCCCCATTTCACAACACCGGCAACCATCTCCCATCCGTCACCTTCCAGTTTCAATCCCTCCTGTCCCTAGCAAACGAAGCGCCCGTTATGCGGACGGCACATGGAGTGTGCCCACAGCAGTCAGATCTGTTCCATCTGTGTCAAGCGCGGCACCCCTTAATGGTCACCGGGCGCCTGAGCACCTCGCTCAGCCTTCTGGAAGATTGTTCGAAGACACTGAAATGCACGAAACACCTAGAAAGCGTAGAAGATCAGCGAACAGTTACGTAGAGGGTGCACCTTCCGACGGCCATGCGATATCACGAGGTCTTAACCCTTCTGTGGATGCTGCCGTAGAAACGGAAGACTTTCTTTCTACTCCTGCGGCTGAACACACACGCAAACTGTGCTATCGCATATCGACCAGGAGTACGAATTCATGCTACCCTCATTGGCTTCATGAGTCACTCACCTTTCCTGCCCATTCAACTCCGTTCGATTTGGCTTCTGACTTAATCCGTCTGGGCTTAACTGACGTGAGCACCACAACCGCTGTCTGTGAAAAGTAAGTGACACTCTTATCGATTCTGCTCACTGTAGTGCCTTCCCTTCGCTTGATCTTGCTACAAAATTAGTGTTGTCTAGCGTAGATCCCAACTTGGCCGTCGTTCCTCCTGAGCGATCATTACTTTTTTAGACAGAATGTTCCATGATCGAGCGCATTCTGCACGGGGCTTTTTAAAGCCCCTCCCTGGACAAAATTTTTAGCATTTGCAACTAAGTGACACTGGGCTTATAGTTTAGATTTTCATTCTTTCGGTGAGCTTCAACTTCCTTACTGTAACTGTTTACAGTTTTTTCACATTGCTTCATCTGGCCGGGTTTATTTGACTTCCTAACCCCCGTTTCTACTTTTCCAGATAACCGAGACAACTCTGTTTCCTGCCAATAATAAGTAGGGGATGTTGATGTATTTGTATTGAGAGTTCACCGCCGTGGCTTCCAGGTCAGATGGCCTTCCACGCATCCGGAAAGACACCAGCTGGCCGTTTCGTCTTATTAGGAGTCCTCAATGGGGCGCATCCCCGGCTCCATGAAGAACCGAGCCCATGGTCCCTCGACACTAACAGCGTAATCCACTTTACCAGTTGACAGCGCAAGACCGTCATGGCCGCTGTTGTAGGAAGTCGTCACTCTGGTGGCCAGCCCTGTCCTCTGCAGCGTTTGTAACTCGCATTATACTAGAGTGGTGCTGTGTCGAAATCAGCTTGTAAGTCATGATGATATTCTCTCGTCACCCGTGGCCTAGTGGCCCTTGGCTCAAGCCGTTAGTGTCGTTACATAATGAGCTACGTTCCTGAAGAAGCCAGGGGTTTGCACACCACTGACGACTCCTTATAGGACGGAGCTCACTCATGGAGGCTGCTTAAATCTGGTTCCATGCTGATAGCCTCAGCTCAAAGCTCGGACCAAACCATCTTGATACTCATCGGTCAGGAGTTAGCCAACGACAGCGCTTCTTTCTTCCTACTCGGCTAATAACAACACTGTTCGCTTGGAGCCAGTAGCAAGATGAAAAGATGAATTATCAATTTTCAGTAGGTGTTTACTTTTAACAGAAAGAGTTGTTGTTCCATGGAGCTTCGCCAATGAATGCTACAGCCATTTCATTCTAGACACCTGGCATTAAGAGAATAGAAATGATTGCGCGAAGTTCCCTTTACTGGCCAAACATTAACTCGAAACTAGAACAGCTGGCGAAATCGTATCCGAGTTGTGCACTTGTCAGTAAAGAACTCAGAAAAGCGGAATTGTCATCCTGACTATTGGCAGAGAAACTGTGGGAGCGAGTACACGCAGGTTGCTTGGGTCTTTTGAATTGACAACGGCATGTTACTGTTCTTTATTCCTTCAGCAGGTGGCCTGATCTGTTCCGTGTGGAGCACGCAACATGTGGCGTAACAATTAGCATACTGAGAAGACTATCCAGTCAGCATGAAATACCGGGGACCTCAGTCACCGAAAGTGGCTCGCCTCATCACTGCCGAATATTGTACACGGAACGGTATTACACACTTGCGTTCGCTGCCGTTCCACGCCCAACCCAATGGGCGAGCAGAGCCACTTGCTGATACTTTTAGAAGGACGTTACTCAGGATGAGAGGGAAGGAACTCTTCCAGAGCAACTGGATGTTTTCCTTCTACTTTGCGAATCAGTCCAACTTCCACGTGCCAAATCATTTGTAACCAAAAGATGCGCTGTTGGATAGCAAACTCCCTACTCTAAATTTGTTACTGCCTCCGAAGCGTATCGCCCCGCAAGAAAGGAACGCGAGAGTTCCGAAATATTACAACCAGCGACACAGAACGCAAGCGCGTCTATTTCACACAAGAGTGTTTTACTCACAGACTATTGCGCGGAAAGATCACAGTGAACAACAAACCCAATCAATTGCACTTGGACAAATGCCGTATAAAGTTCGAGGGGGTTATGCTTTGGACCACACACGCAAACCAGCTGCGACCAATCAGCATTCGGATAAGTCCCAGTGAACGATTGCTATCACTGGATATTCTGCTGGACGACTTCAGTGTAGAGAAGCATGCAGATGACAATCTCAAGCTTATCATCAATCGGATCGGTGCGTCTTCCACGCTGGGGTGAACTCGACTCTGACCCTCAGTGGTTGAAGCGTTTTGTTGTTATGGTCAGCAGCAGGCTTCAGTGGCACCATCATCTATTAATCAATGTCTAATCGAACGCAAATCTCAAAATGGTGCTTGTAAAACACAAGGAACCATTTTCTTTCACTATTGTATTTCGTTTTCACCTTTGTTCTGCCATGGTTCCGATGGCATATTGTGTTTAGCCATAATATGACAACCAACTGTCTCCTGGAATCAGTATGGTCGAGCTGGCAGTTTTTCCACAGGCAGGCACCTTGTCAACATTTACATCAAGCGCAGCTACACCGGGGATATCAAACAACAACCAACCCCTGAAATACAAGGAACCCAACACGTATATAACATATGCAGCGGTGATGTAGCACACGTACCACATCAACCGCTTTAGTGGCCTGGGTTAGTAAATTGAAGCGGAAGCAGCGTATTTGTAAAGCGCTGCGCTGATGATAATTACCTATTCAGCTTCATCGTGGCGTTTTCGATATTGACCCTAGGTAGCCACGCTGATGGCTTACCAAACTGGCTTGGTTGAGGTACTCGCGACCACATGTGCTACAGCACCATATGCTTGACGTCGATGGGGTAGACCCCATCGGCGCCTGTCTCTTCCGGCTTTTCTCCTCCGCGTGCAATAGTGTCTCCTCCTGCACTTGTCGGCCGGTGGCCGAAAGGATTACGCACCTGGCTTACATTCCTTAGGTCACTAGTTCGCATCCGCGTAGGGGCGAACATCCTCGCGGTATACTCAGGCCACGCGCGACTGGTGGTGGTTGCGTGGCAGCGAAGCATCGATGTAGTGTGCCGTCGTACTGCTGATGACCTTCTCACCTGTGCAACTGCCTCATTGAGAAGCTTTCACCATTCGCGCCGATAAACTGTCTTTAACTCCCAACACCTGAAATCAAAATTAGTTCGTGATAAACTCACCTTGATCATGTCCTGACAACGTAGCTTCGATTTTCCCACGTTTCGCTTTCAAGCACTAAATTTTCCATATAGCAGCTGCTAGGGTATCCGCCACGAAGATGCCGCACAGAACTATGCAGTCCACTGCAATATGCCAGAGCGGCGCAGCACTTTTGTGTAAGCAGCTCGGTCACCCTAACCAAAACGCAGAATCCGTCGTAAGCACTGTAGACAGAAGCGCTCTAGATAACGGACATTCTTCGGGTAAACCGCCTACGTTTCGCTGCCGTATGGAAGAACGGACAGCACCATCTACCGACCTACATTCAGCTTCATCCCAACAGTAAGTTGATGATTCCTCTACACACACTGCCAAATGCAGCAGCCGCCTTCGATATGCGGGTGCGCAGCTCGCGCGTCATCTGTAAATCGGTGAGTATTACGCTCCCTAGATAGCTGCATTTCGTTATTGTCTCCAATACATCATCAGCAACTTGGATTTAAGGCAGACCCACTGAATCCACTCCTGTTGAGGGCTGAAAAAGACAAACAGTCTTGCCTTTGTTGATGTGAGCCCGAATTGGGCCGCTGTTGAAGTTACAGCCAAAGTCGTGTGCTGCATCTCTTCCGCGCTGTGTATAAACAACGCACAGCCGTCAGCGAACAATATACGGATAATTTTCTCACCTACTATGCTTCTCGCCTCGAAAAGACGGATGTTCAACAACCCACCATCAATACGGTGCTCCACACAAACACCGTTAGCACAAGCCGGATCAGACGCGCACATCATGGCATGAAGACAAATATTAAACAGGGCAGGAGCTGAGACACAGTCTTGCTTCACACCAGAGACAACAGCAACGTCATCCGAGGTTTGTCCGGTCAGTTGCGCCGTCGCCCTCATATCACTGTGCAGACAAACAATTGGGCTTACACACTTACTTTGACACTAAACTTACCGAACACCATCCACAGTGTCTCGCAGTTCACCGTGGTGAAGTCAACAAACAGCAAGTGCGATGGCTGGTGTCGACCTCTGTAGTTCTGCTGCGACTGACGCGCCGCGAACACCGTATCTCCGGTGCTATGGCCCAATCGCAATCTGCATTGCTGTTCCGCCACGGTCGGTTCAACAACTTGTGTGACGAGGCGGTTGAGCAGAATTCAAGCAATCCGCTTTCCAACAGTCCAACATGTTGGTACCATTAACGTATATTTTTTAAAATTTGCGTACCTGGCTCGAAGGATGAGCTGTACAGTAATATTTCAAGAGGGGACACATGTCCCGGCATAATAGGAAACACTGATTGAAATAAAAACTCCACACAGTATTCGGAACCGCGTCAGTTCTCACCATGTGTGATTGGGTGCATGTTATGTAAGGTGTGATGAAGCGCCTCGCATGTAGGTATCCTTCACCTTTAGAGTAAGACGAGGCGTCAATACTCAGAGGTCAGAGATATCAAGTGATGTCAATCCGAGTGCAGTAAGATGTTTGGCTGAAATGGTGTATATCATCCCTCGATTATTGATAATGGCGGGATGGTGAATAGTATTCATTGTCTCTAGAACTTTTTCACGTATCTATCGCGATATGGCTGTTGCATTCTCCCCTGATCAATATTTATCCACTTTCAATTTGTAAGTACATCCCATCCGATACGCGTCACAAATAGCTACATCCACAATGTGAATCGTGGAATTTTTAACCGCAAGCAAGTCTGGCTTGATGCAAGTGATGGCGGTCAGAATCCTCGGCTCCATAACAATGTTAGTGCTTCGGCGCCGCAGTTTCCTCGCAATCTGTTGCGCAATTTCGTTGTGACGTTTACAGCGGACATCATGCGTGATACAACACGCCTGAAGAATATGAGACGAAATCTCCTTTTGTCCGCAACATCCGCGGCAGTTGAGAGAAGCCCAGTCATTGGTACGTGTGCCTCTTCTCCGTCTTGTCTTTGTAGAAAG